AAGTGAAAAGTCACATGTAGTTTCTGATTGACTGATTACTTCACTGCTAATATGCTTAGTAGCATTCCAAAATTTCCAGGAAAACACATGGACTTCAAAAATACTATCAAAACCCTATATTTTCTGTACATGAATGAACCTTTGGAGTAAAGTGCTTCCTACATATTTTGAGCCTTTTCTCTTGTGTTCAAGTTGCTGTGTAGATTAAGTTTGGGGGCTACGAGACTAGCTTAGGATACGAGTATAGCATAGTATAGTATATCAACAGTGAACCTATTGATAATGTTACAACCATCTAAACATATGAGGTTTTCAATTCTATTTTTAAGTAGTATAATGTATACAAAAATAAAAATGATAATATATGACTTCACGATTAACACAAGAGCCATGTTGGTAGATGCAGACTACCTGGTTCGGGTCCGCGTGACTATAGTAACTAATGGTTTGAGACTCTAGGTGACAGGGCTCATATTCGGTTACAATGGCGTCAGTGTAAACATTCTGTCTTCTCTTAAACTATAAGATTGAAATTGCTTCATATCTGTCTTTCCTCCTGTACTACATCCTTATATACAGTCTTTCTTTTATATATTACCACAAGTAAATGGACTACTATGAATTCGGTGTTCATCTTGTTGTGCTAACGAGGTATGGCATCTTGAACGGATGCATATATGTGCCTGGTACTACAATGTAGCTAACTGGCTGACTGACAAGTGAAATAAGTAAAATTATCAATGCGACCTCGAACAAACATCAGTTTGACAACCTTTGAAAACCAAGAATTATAGGACAGCTATTTAGTTCTAGTATGGAACTCCCAAGCAGTGCAGATCCATTACGCTACGATGAATATAACTCAGGACACTAGGATTTGTCGTCGAAATACTAGACTTTGGATCTCAGAACCAGCATCTAATAGGTAATATCGAATTCCAACCAATAATTGAAATTTCACAAGCGTCTTCAATCGATACTAATCTGATATCTGAAATAACATGATAACACCGTGGATGCTGACTCAGTGTTCTAAAGGTTTAGCTCTTCCACTGAGACCTGAAGGTCCTGTTTTCCATCCTTGGTAGGATTGTTTATGCATTGCTGAGGAGTTCCATACTAAAACAACATAGTTGTCCAGCGCTTACAAGTTTTTAAAGGTTGTCTAACTTAAGTCTGTTGATAAACAGATACAAATCGCCCCTTATAAGCTTGCAAATGTTTTATTATCGCAATAAATTAACTTTAGGATGAATATGATAATATTACCTTGACACATTTTAAAACCAAATCGATGTATTCCAACATTTGTAAACTGGTATAAATTTTCTGAATAACTGTGCGTTTAAACTTTACTGAAAAAAATCCAGAAACATCATACTCAAATTTGCACCATTTAATTGGATGTAAATCTGTGCTAAATGTAATAACATCGATTCATTTCGAAGTGGGTAAAAAAGCAAAAGTAATTCTTTTAAATTTAATATATTCAAAGATATAGACATGAGGTCACTGAAACAATACTTATACCATTCATATAGATGCTATAACACCAAAAAATCAAATGAAGTCATCTCATTACTGTGCTATTAATCGGAAAAACGTTTTAGAGCCTGATTACGTTTGCGTCGCATTTAACACCTACACATATTGCTAGTACCGAATCATACCCATGAAGAAAAGTTTCTGTAATCAGAAAGCCGTATTGAATGCATAAATGAAGTTTGTCAGAAGACAACGTGAACAATAATCAGAACGGCCCATCAGTGATTTAACTGAAAACAACAGACTGAATGCTCTGGCATAATTAAACAATTCAATGGCATCCATTAGAAGATTGAATAAATACTATAATGAAATACCTGAGTGGTTACGCATTGAAATACTTATACACATGTTGGTGTAACTCTTTGTTATACCATGTTACTTCTACAAGAGTAAAGAACAGTAACCTGTATGACAGAAAATAGACATCATTGGATCTTTAAAACAATAATTAACAGAATGCCTTGTTATGAACCTTTATTTTGTAGAGACATATTGAACATTTAAGCTTATCTACAGTATTAGTAGGAACCTGACAGAGAGTGTCAATCTCTTTCTCCATACTACTGAAGCCTTCATCATATATACAAACCAGAACTACATATACGGAAGTAAATTGTTTAAGGTATTTTTAATCATTTTGTCTTGAAAGATTATTCTTCCGTGTTTTAACATCCACTACTTTGAAGTTTTAGACTATAAGAAGTACAGAACACTTGATAACTTATGTGCAACTAATGTCATCTCAACTAAGTACAAGTATTGGATAAACATTTCAATACGCTTCAGTTAAGATGTGCATATTTTATGCAGATAATTTACAAACTTCAGGTTTCTATACAACCACAAATAGCAGAGAAAATATAAGAGTTCAGAAATATAACTTCGGATATATAGATTCGTGCTCACGAACTGATAGGTAATTGTTAGTTACTGAAAAGTTATGAGCAGGTATAAGGCATCCATATTCAAAACTAGTACGATGTTGAAGTTGTTCAGTAACTGATACATGTAAAAGGATTTGTAAAATACATCACCACACAAATGTACGAGAAAATGACAATACTTTATTGCTGCTTCTGTTTTACGAAAATTCCCAGGTCATCTTTTGTCTTTTTAGGTAGTTAAATAACTCAATACGTTTCTATTTGTGACTTGAATTATTGAAGATCATGAACATGTCGAGGAAAGGCGTTTCGCCACAGCAATAATGTGAGGGTAAATAAACCCAATCTTCAAGTGTCTCATAAATAATGTTCAGACGACACTTTATTGTTATCGAAATATATTTTCGGACTTCGATTGATAAGTATCTTGTGTTATGTGATTCGACAACTTCTAAGTCTCGAATTGCATTGAACACATCAAGATTTCTGTAGGTGATGGTGTCATATACATTGCCTTGATAATTAGTTACATACCGTATATTCCATTCGTCATGATTGTTAGCACAGTTCTTTATATATTCTATCTAGTGAATTAGGTATCAAGAGTAAAAACGTCTCTGTGAATATGGAAATTTTGAGATACATCACTCACGATTGACATTTAAATGAATAATTAAAAAAAATGAACAGTGTACTTCGTCGGTAAAATAGTACTTATCAAATTATTTTATTCATCTTTTATTAAAGTCGTTACGCAGCTGGTTCGATAAAGATTGTGCATATCTGTTAACAGGTTCGAACAATTATATCCTTCATAAAAGTAGGCGACGTCTGTGGGTCAGATTTTGGCTGCAATATATAGATTTATTATTTAGTAATTTAATTCAACTGCATTATGTAGTTATTATAAATATCGTTCGAAACAATCAAATAATTCTAAAACACTAGAAATATACTTCTAAACAATATTTTAGAATATTTCCTAACCACATATCATAACACAAAACGAAATGTTAGTGTTTACAGACATCAAGCTTTGTATCTCAATAATGTAGCACTCGTTTTCTCGAAACATACACATACAGAAACAGATTATGAGAATTAAGATCTTGTCAACAGTATCAAACTAATACCGCCAAGTGTCCATTTCATTATGGTTAACCTTGAGGCACTTCAGACATTCTATATTGAAAATTCTTGACATTCAACCTCAAATAACTTACCGATAAATATTGTGTATTCACTAATTTATGAACTCGTAAAGTGATTCCTATCTTCTTAAACTTATAAGAATTATTTGATATATTATTCAACTGTTAAAAAAATTGAAACGGCGTACAACTACCTAGTGTATTCTGTGAAGAAACGCCATACATGGTAGAGGCTTACAGTGCCATATTTACACCGATTGAGAAATACAACCGATAACAGCTACATTCAACTGACGGAAAGTTGTTTTACTGTGATTTTGTTACGAAACTCTAGAAATACAGAATTCATTGTTGTCAAATTGTGATTTTATTGAGTAATTTCCGATATATAATTTCATACTGATAATCATATGGTCGAACAATATGGTTTAAATGCGAAATTATGTAGAACTTACCATGAGCTCTTTTGACACTGGTAGAAATATTGGTATTATTATTAAATAGTAACAACTACAATCATACGGGTCACCAGGAATTACTAAATTTACCCACATTGCAACTCAATTCATTTAGTCTTGAAACTATTGCATAAATTTTAGAAATTTTCAAGACTACCATCAACATTAAAGCTTTATAAAATAGAGAACTATTTCACTTGTTATGGCAAAGTTTAGAAAAGAGTAACCTGTCGATCTTAAGTCAGTCGTTCTTTACTTTGAATTACCACTCATTTCGCAAAACCGTGAGCGGTAAACCATACATCACTGGTTTACAGATTGGTTTTCATCATGCCTCCAATCACACATAAATTGAACGAAAACAGAATAATTATAAGCGTTAAACCTATTGAAAAGCAGAAGTCGTTGAGAGCGAAACTGTTCAAGTGGCGACATGGAAGGTTTACAAGAAGCCTCATATGGTAGTTACTAATGTTCATATACTTATTAAATGTTTTTCTGCCAATCACCTAACGATATATTGTGGTCATAAAGAAGTATCCCGAGTACCTTTGTCAGTTATCAGACTGGAGTCTCAACCAAATTAGGTTGCCATAAGTACGATACTGTGAGCATATTTGATGATAGGGCGTCTAGCCGTTTCTATCTGCTCTGTTTTGAAAGGAAAGAAGTCGTAATTTCGCGACACGGTTTCTCCTCTTTAATTTTTCGTTGATCTGAACAGCATAAAAAGCAGTATTTTCAGTCTACAAATTCAGATAATCTATCGTTAGCCACCTCAAAATAAGCTTTCTGGGACGTGAAATAAGTAGTACTAACATTAGAGGTTGGATCCAGATCACACGATATGGTTGTCTATTCAATGTGTCTTCATCAAAAAATTGAAGTGTTGCATAATTGCATTCCACAACCCAACAGAGTGGCTGGTTAACATGCAGCCAAGACGAAATACACGAATTAACATAATACAGCCGGTTTTATACCATCAGCGATTGTACTTAAATCTAAACATGAAATATATGAAGTGACTCAAGAGTAAAGGGTTCAAAATTAGAGTCGGTTACACTAACGACAAACATATAAAACCAAAATCTAATGATACAACGCAGTTGTAACTCAAAGTGTTTTCAAATTAGAAAGAGATTTCTCAGAAAAATGAAGCAACATTCTGTTTTGAAGTTACGATGAAGGAATTTAAATATACACAAGGATAAAAAATGACGAAAATTACATTTTGGAGAAACACTGAGGTAAGTAAACCAAAATCTTATAAGGGCAATTAAACACGACATTAGTACGCCGCACATAAAGTCCTTAACACGTTAATTTATGTTATTAGCCTAATAATGTTTATGTATCTCATGGTTCAGATAACCATTAACCTCTCATTACAATATTCAAGGTTATCGAAACGGATGGCGTAAGATTACTTTTTTGCCATCATTACAATAATTCGAGTTACAACAGTGAAGTAAGAAAAATTCAAGGACAGAAATAGATATGCTAGAAGATTATAACTAAGACAAACCGGAATTCGGAACACTACCAGTAAAATACCAAATTGTTCTATGATATATAAATGCAGTTGAGATTAATACAGAAAAAAACGGAATGGACAGTTAATTAAAGAACTGTTAGCATTTATACTGATGATTTAGAGTTTTCTGTGCTTTTTTAATCATATCTTCGACAAAAGCTGTTGGAGAATTTAAACCACATCGTTCGGCGAAATTGGCATTAGTTTTGGAATCGGTTCCAGCCAAATTTCTGTCTAAAAATTCCAATAAAAACGTATCATCCATACAAACATTCATTTTTGTGCTAATATCATCTAGAGCATTGTCTTTCGATTCAAGCAAATTATGTCTACCATCAGATGTATGAAGACTATGTGAAGGATTAGACACTTTTTTATTCCTGTCAACTACAGGATAACTATTATCACAATTAGTCGTTTCCAATCCTAAAGGATCATAAAATATATTCAGCATATTTGATTTCGATTGACCAATATCGGTGTTTTCTGAGTTTATCTAGAAAGGAATAAGGATTTGTGAATCAATGTCTAGTCAAATCAAGGAAAATATTAAACGGTGAACGATAAAAATTTCACATAATAATAGACACCACTTTAAGGAATCGATTTTCTTATATTTATACTGAACGAAATGCGTAGTTGAGCGTTCAAACAGTGGATTATGAGCACGAACTTCATCCATCCGGTCTTAGGTAGAATTGATATTATTAACCCTTGTATACTAGAAATTCATATCAGTCTAGTAGACAACCCTAACTTGGAATCCGGAAGGGAGGCGGAAAAAAGGAAGGCCAAAGAAACACATTACGCCGGGAAATAGAAGCAGATATGAAAAGGATGAATAACAACTGGAAAGAACTCAATAGTAAGGCTCAGGACAGAGTTGGGTGGAGAATGCTGGTGAGCGGCCTATGTTCCTCGACGAGGGGTATCAAGCGTAAGTAAGAAAGTAACTAGTAGACAAATCTATACAAAGTCAGGAATTGATATTATTATTATTACCTAGAATATCACTTAGAAATTATTCTTAATTGTTGAACACGCATTAAATATAACCTGAAATCGTTTTTCATGAATGAAATGCTCAGTAAGATAAAGTGAGTTGATACACGAGCAATTAATTTGAATAAGAAATGAACTTGATCTCATTCAGACTTCACTAATCAGTAACAAGAGACCTGCAGTTACTATGTCAAGAACTAATGAGGGATAAAAATCGGTATTGCTTCTGACTGGGAACAAACAAATATTGAGTTGAAATTAATTGTAAAATTTACTGAAAGCTATCAATAAATAAGTACACTAATTCGAGGGTTAAATTACTCTGATTCCTAAAAGTACTAGATTTCTAAAAATAACTTTAAAAAGAATGAAAAAAATAACGGAATGACGATAAAGCAAATATAAGTATACTGGATTACACATTCAAGATTTAGTGAAGAATCTAAACGAAATGTGTTTGAGCATTTCTGTGATTGATGAATTGTGTATATATCTAGGGTCTCATCAAACCATTGATTTCTACCATTTTGGAGAGCATATTAGTCAGGAATTCCACACAGTTTCAAGCAATAAAGATCAATTCAACTTTACTAAAAACACTAATCAATAATCGATGACTTATTCGATTGGCTCCATGTTGTGATCTGATCATCTTAAATACTTTCATAAAGCATTTAGTAGCAAGTGGTAGACTTGAGAGTTTCAAGAAGATTTTCACGATTTCTTGAGTTGGGCTCGCTTATTTGTGCTACTTATCCGACTCCAATGAAATATGTGGTCACAAGTGTAACATACCCCCCCTATCACCAAAACCAAAGAGAAAGTTTAATGTTGAGTAAAGAATAACCTGAGGATACAAATGTTTCAGGAGTGCGTAACGGTAGACAAACCGTGAGAGGAAATAACTGTATGTAGCGTGGATTCCGGCCATTACTAGCCAGATCAAAGTAAGTCTTTAAATTAGTTCATACGGTTCCAGAAAGATAATGGAATAAAATAAGCAACGAACATACCTACACTTAAACAAAGTATACAAATAACGTACATAATTAGTTAGATCACAATTAATTCTTAAACTAGGTACAGAATTATAAGCAGGCTTAAAATAACTAATTTGAAACATCCTGTCTGATTCGTTATCCATACCAATAGGAAGAAATTTACGTAGACGTGTACGAGGCCACTACAAAATTTATACCTCATGGAAAGTCGAGGAGCTTGTCCAATTAAATTAATTGAAATATGCCAACATAAACTAATGTGATTATTTGTAGATTAAATCACCTTTTTTACAACAATATATCAACTTGTTAAAACATGATGCATATAATAAAGTTTATACAACATAAAGTTTTTGACACAATAAACATTGTTACCAGATTTTGGCTTTTTTCACTAGTCATAAGAAAATGTCCACTATTATTTCGTTTGGAGCCATTATCACTTTTAAGAGAAGCTCTAGTAGAAATCTGTTTTGAAGATGACTCATAATTCTTCTCCAGTGATTCTCTTGATCTCCCGACAAGCATATATGGAGGTGAGTCAGACGGATAATGCAAGGTTTCTTGCTGTGAATTCGACGTGTGAATTAGCGATAAGCTAGGATACTCATAAGACGTATCTGTGTCCTAAAATAAGATGAGGAACAACTGATGACAATTCGATAAACAAAATTAACACGGAAAAATTAAAACAAACAGCTACCTTTCGTTATGTTACAGATATACTAGCCACAGAGAATCCGAACATTTCAACAATGCTCGAACCTGCTTTTGATACATAACCATTACATAACAAATCAGTCGAGCGAACGGTTACCGAAGCTAATAAGAAGGAGACTAACATCACTGAAGATGGCAGTAAAGAGATCATCAAAAACTAGTCTCTGCTTATGCTATACTTCATTTATTTATTTGAACACACAAATATTGGTAAAAAAAAATGGCACCAAGTATATATGCGTGACACAATAACAAAGAGAATGTGAAGAGACAGATAATGTAAAGTGCGTTTAACAAAACGGGGAACAATAGTAAAATAATGATGGGTTTTATTTATTTAAACACATAAATATTGGTAAAAAAAGCACCAGATAAATATGCGCCACACAAATCTCATTCGATTTGTGTGAGGGCTGTGATACTGCCCGGGTGCCCAAACTGAAGCAGGTGGTTTTCTTAGGGAGCCACACCCCGAGCCTTTGACCAAAAGGTCCGATCCACAAGGCAGTGGAGCATCGTGAAGAGATGCAGTCCCATGGTAGCCGTTGACCAACAATACGTTCATACGCCATTCGTTCCATCAGGATTCTGGAGCCCATGTGCACCATTGGTTTGGAATCAGGGTTTCCCAACTCCCCTAGGTGGACCCTCCATGTCCACCAACCCGGTTAAAGCGCCGGACATTGCTTTTCGTTCTCTCACTTTCGTGAACAACACCCCCTCCACGAGAAGCCAGTGAGTAGGACTTCCCTGGCAGAGGCTGTATACGCGTGGCCATGTGAGAGTATTTCGAGAGGGAGAGTGGACTCTCCCCACTCTCCACCGTACCAGGGCATTTTGGGGGCTTATACCATATCCATAGGTTTCTGGTATTCCACCATAAATGTTCGCAAAGCAATCCTCATGTATTTTGTGACCACGGAGTAAGCAATGAATGGGTTGAGAATAGAGTATAGGGTAAAGATGGGAAATCGACTGATGAGGTAATCAATCTCCATCAACAGAGATGGTTAAGACATGTGTTACGTATGCTCAGTCGCCACTTACCTCGTCCGGAGAGGTTTTCTCGAGTAGGTGTAGGGAGATAGTTAGGGGCGGTCAAACTAAAACATGACATCAGTCCGTAAAGTCTCTGACAATTGGGTTTAGCCATATATTCATGAGTATAGAATAACTTGTTGAGATCCAAGTGATTATCACAACCACTGTTCAGAGACTTTGAATGAAATAGCTCAAAATCATTTGCAATGGTGTAGGTGCATCCATTGTTTATTTTCCCCAAATACTGAGATTCTAAATCCACTGCCTTGTGGATCAAACCCCCAGGTTGAAGGTCGGGTTGTGACTTTCTAAGAAAATCAACTGATTAGGTTTAGGCACTCAGGCAGTACCTTAGCCCACACAAATCAAACGATGGTCAGAACTAAAAAAAATTGATCTTGCTTCAATTCGCACCCTCACAAATAGTACCTACAACTACTTGGTAACATTCCTTCATATTTTACATGGTATCACTTGTCTATCCCCTTTTATCCCCATTTTGTATATTCCCTTATTCGTTAATTCATATAGCAGGTCGCCTGTAGTAGAAATTCGGTCCGACAAATAGCAGACCAGATGCAATTTAGGATGAGTTCTGCCATCAGTTAAGGGATCTACCACTTCTCAGTGGTTAACAAATTCATCATATACGGATCAATCTCAGTGAATTGGTTGCAGCTTCTGTTACAACCAAATCCCAAACCGGGCTAGGTTTAAGGCTAGCTATTAACCCACTGAAAAGTGAAGATGAGGATTGGCTGCATTTACATGATGCCATGAAAAAAGCGATTAGCAAAACGTCTCGCTTACAAGCTCCGAGTTTCTACAGGCTCCTTACAACTTGATGTAGCACGTCAGTCTATTCCGGACAACCATTCCTTTGACACCCAGCGAAGATTGTTAAGTAATGAAATTGTAAGGACACAGAAGTCGGATAGCTTGAATGTGTTAAATAGTTACCAGCTGCAGCTGGTAACTGCAAGAAGCTTCTTCTATTCATCCGAATCACCGGCAGCAAGAAGTCTGGTGAGAGTGAAACAATCTGTGAAGTTGATGAGACGCCAACCAATAACATCTGTCAACCTCTTGGACGACGACAGAATTCTCCGAGGAACAGTTCAACTGGTCTAGTGCCCCAGTAATTTCAATCAGACAGAGTATGATGAGAATTTGAATGGCAAACTGTATTTATATATCTGTAAGTACTGACGGAAGAAAACATCATACTCTTAGATCGTATTTGCAATTCCAAAAGGTATTTAAATATATTAACTAATCAGTCAGTCAGTCAGCTACAACGTAGGACCAGGCACACATATGCATCCGTCCAAGTTGCCATACCTCCTTAGCACAACAAGATGAACACCGGATTCATAGATATAGTTAATTTAGTGGTGGTAGTATATAAAAGATAGGTTGTATATAAAGATATAGTATAGGGAGGAAGAACGTTATCAAGCAATTTTAATCTTAAGGTTTAAGGGAATATAAAGAGTGTATACACCTACGCCATTGTGATCGATTCTGAGCCATGTCACCTAGAGTCTCAAACCATTGGTTACGATAGTCACGCAGACCCCAACCAGGTAGTCTGCATCTACCAACATGGCTCAGACTGGAAGTTAATGACTTCAAGCACTGATGCCACGTTTTGGTTTGACCGCCCCAAACTCTCTTACAACCATCCCCTACACTAGTCAGCATAGCGCGTCGTGGTAATCGGTATACAGGCATACGTAACACGTGGCCCCCAAATGCCCTGGTACGGTGGAGAGTGGGGAGAGTCTACTCTCCCTCTCGAAATACTCTCATATGACCACGCGAATATATAGCCTCTGCCAGGGAAGTCCTACTCACTGCCTTTTCGTGGCGGGGGTGTTGTTTACGAAAGTGAGAGGACGATAAGCGAATGTCCGGCGCTTTAACCGGGTTGGTGGACATGGAGGGTCCACCTAGGGGAGTTGGAAAACCCTGATTCCAAACCAATGGTGCACATGAGCTCCAGAATCCTGATGGAACGAATGGCGTATGAACGTATTGTTGGTCAACGGCTACCATGGGACTGCATCTCTTCACGATGCTCCACTGCCTTGTGGATCGGACCTTTTGGTCAAAGGCTCGGGGTGTGGCCCCCTAAGAAAACCACCTGCTTCGGTTTGGGCACCCGGGCAGTATCACAGCCCACGCACACAAATAGTGTGGCGCATATGTACCTGGTTCCCTTTTTGTACCAATATATATGTGTTTAAACAAATAAATAAAACACGTGGCCCAACCATCTCAGTCGATGAAGATTCATCACCTCATCAACTGATTTACCATCATTCCCTAATACCCTGTGTCTAACCTCACTATTACTTACCCGGTTATCCCAGCAGATGCGAGCAATATTTCTAAGGTATCTGTGATCAAATACTAGTAACTTACGATTATCTTCTACTCTTAATGGGCATGTTTCACAGCCGTAAATTAGGACAGAACGAACTGCCGCGCAGTATACTCGTCCCTTAATTGATAGACGGATATCTCGTTTTCCCTATAGGTGACGTAAGTTGGCAAAAGCCAAACGAGCTTTCTGAATCCGTGATGAGATTTTGTCAGACACCAACCCGTTAGGGCTGATCAGACTTCCAAGATAAGTCAAGTTGTCGACGCATTCGACTACTTCGCTCCCTATCCTTAGTTCAGGTGTTGACGCAGGTCAGTCTTGGAGTAACAATTTACATTTAGATGGGGAGAAACGCATCCCAAACATCCTGGGATTATTACTGAGTTCCAACAGAAGACTCTGCATTTTGCCAGCGTCTTTACCAAACAGGACTATGTCATCTGCGTATTCTAAGTCGCTTAATGGAGTCCCTGGTAGAAGATCAATTCCTTAAAATTCAGTCGACGAGTGTTATTTCCAGCAACAGGTCTATAATGAAGTTAAACAAAAATGGGGATAGTGGACAACCTTGTCGGACACCACTTGAGGTTGTAAAATCACATGACAGTTCGACATAAGCTCTCAGTCGACTAATAGTGTTCGAGTAAAGAGCCTTCAAAAGGTTTATGTACTTCCGAGGTACACCTTTCAATGACAGACACTGCCACAGAACCTCTCGTCCTACAAAGTCAAATGCTGCTTTCCAGTCAAGGAAAACTATCATTGTCGGACGCTGATAAACATGTCTGTGCTCTAAAACCTGACGAATAGTGAATATGTGGTCGATGCAGCTACGACCAGGTCTGAAGCCAGCCTGATTTTCTCGTGTTCGCAGTCCACGAGTCTTAGTTAGGCGCCGATAATTATTGAGGCTAGTATTTTAGATGCTACATTAGTCAGACTAATCCCTCTATGGTTATCGCAGGATGATTTTGACCCCTTTTTATATATTGGGACAATCAGTGATTGTGACCAGTCGGATGAGATTACGTCCAACTCCCAGATTTTAGTCAGGATATTAGTCAACCTAGTCGCTAAAATTGGGTCACCATATTTAAAGACCTCTGGAGCCAATACATTTTCTAGAGATATCTGAAAAGGAAATTGAGTTAGAAGTGATCTTAATGACCTGAGAGCGTGACCGCGGTGCCCAAGGGACAACTGCTTGAGGTCGGTCACACACGACCTTATTGTGAGTAGTTTTCGTGTTAGCTCCGTTCTTTAAAGAACCTTACCGCCGGAGATGGAAATCCGTGGGATAAGGCGAGGTGTGCATTTTTAGGGTCGACCTTTTCTAACCCCACCCCCTCCTTGTGGGACAGCAGCATCGCTGCAGATGCTGGTTGTCTGAAGGAAACACCTTACTGCTGTCACAGTCAGCAGTACGACTTCGCCTTCGGACCTTCGGTTCGCGGCTTTTAGTCTTACCGCTCTTCAACCAACCTGTCTGGCAAGGTAGAACCTTGATGAACGATTGTTCCAGCCAGTATAGCTCGATTGGTTCATCACGATAGGCAAACCCGACCACCACGTAAAGGTAGCAGCAACGGTCGGGAATGCACTACTACGAACACAATGAAAAGTTTATATAATCAATGCCTTTCAGTGAACCATTTACAATGTAACATACTCATGATTTTGCATGGGAATCGAGAATGACTTACAGTTTTCCCCAATAAAGTATCATCAACAAGTGTCTTTCCACACTGCAAAATAGTTTGAAATCCAGGGAGTGAACGATTGGCTTTGTGTACGGTAGGTCCCGACACTGTCGTGGTCGAATTCTGGTCAACTTTCATTACTTTCCTATTCTTCAGTTCATTATTGAAGGCATGGTTTGAGGGAGATACAGGATCAGCGATTCTGAACAACATACAAACACAACATGCAATAGGTGATGAAAACATCTACCTTAAACAAGAAATATACTAATAAAATGGTTCTTGTGGCTTATAACAGCTCACTTACAAAAAATTTGGTACAACTGGACACTAATCGTGTATGCGCTACATAATTAACAACTTGAAGGTTCAGACAAGGAGAGGAAACAATCATTTCTCTCCAACCTATTGGTTCAGCCGTTTAGCAGAGTTGCCTAATTCCACTAGTTCTCTTCCACTTTCCTATCGATGACGTTGGGAGGCAGCTCTGATAGTGGTGTGGATCTGTCACTCAGATAAATACTTCACCATCTCATATGTGCAGATGATATTGTCTTATTATGTGACGATACCTAAGCCATACAATCCGCACCTAATAAATTGGCAACTAGTGTTCACCAGTTTATTTATTTATTTATTTAAACACATAAATATTGGTACAAGGAAGCACCAGATAAATATGCGCCTCACAAATCTCATTCGATTTGTGTGAGGGTTGTGATACTGCCCAGGTGCCCAGACTGAAGCAGGTATAGCATATCGTTTGCACATTCTAAATACGAAGTACTTTTACAAAACTACCAGACCCTTGAAACACCAACTTCGGTGGCTTGTGCGTGAATTCCACATCATGCATTATTTGCCGACGCTGGGACTTTTGGATAAATTGGAGAGGTGGTTAGTGTATGATAAGATGTTGTGGTATATGGTCCAACTCAGACTTCAGACGCTCTTAGACATAACTCACAGTAGAAAACAGTGACGGTTCCGCTGTAATTTTCTCTTCTTTCTTCATAAAAGTAAAAGCACCATATTTAATTGAAAGAATCCTTCCTGGTTTCATTTTTCCTACCTGTGGCGCTTCTCCCATGATTTATTACTCTCATTCCATTTGGGTTTTTTATTATACTCACCTTCCTTCCTATATCTCTTCATAGTATCACTTTCCAATTGAATGGTGCATGTTTATTTTGGTGCGCATCTGTACCAATATTTATGCATATAAAAATGTATTAAATGTCAAGGCAACCAAAAGATATTTGTAATTAGCAAAGAGAGATGAACACTCAGTTTACTTCCACATCAAACAAATGAAACTACAAGTCATGGTCACAGGAGAATCTAGAGTAAATCAGTTAACAGGAGAAAGTTAAAAGAGAAGTTGCTAGTCATAAGCCTTTTGAGGACATATTACAAGAGCGCCTTTAGTAGTCTCTAACATGACAGTCTACAAGTAATGGTCTACTGTGATTTAGGCTGTCGGAAAACGAGGCTAGGCTGCACACGAGTCTTCAAAATTCCTACAGATCAAAATTAATAGACTCCCTTGATGGCGTTATTTATTTTCTTGGGTACGATGCTTGTAAAGTATCTTATCAACAATGTAATATGCTTAAAAAATGACCTAATCTGCTAGCTATACCAAAAAGGAAGTGTTCGAGTGTATCGGGACAAAAATAAAACTAGCATGAATTGGTGAATTCGCGGTGGCGTTCGACCAGCTTCACTCACTACATTCCGCGTAGTACTTAACTACCAAACTGCACAATTATACATTCTAAAATTTTACTTGTGTATGAGGGCTTTTAACCCACAATTCGCTTCGTGAAAATATCAGGCCTAAACTGTGGTGTACCTCGAAATTATGAACTAATACTCAACATAACCTACTTGACGATGTACGAATCAGATTTTATCCAAAACTGTCACAGGCTTTAAAAGCTATATAATATGGGCGGGTGTGGCACTAGTGAATAAAATTTTCCGATTGAAATTCTCCGGCGAGAAAAAATGGAGCTTAAAAACGGGAACGCCTTGTGATCTCAGTGATTTAAACAAGACAGCCTACGTAAAACTTTTGGTACAACTGCCTTATTTGTTGAAATTCAAAATGTTTTTGGTGGATGTACCTACTTTCATACGTAGTTGCCCTCAAGATGTACTATGATATTTGCCACAGTAAAAAGTAACTACGTAGTCGATATCTCTAGAAAATGAAACAATATGACAAACAACCATGTACTAACCTTAATCCCTTTTTAAGTGGTAAAGTATGTTCCATGGATTTAGCTGAATTGTTCTGAGCACAAGTGAGTTAGCTATCAAATATACCTCGCGAAAAATCCACCTGTCCCTGATCCATGCCTCGGCACTTTGAAATGGCGACGGAAAAACGCTTAGCATTCCAGGCGGAGCAACTGATTGAAGGAATGGAAAAATCAGAATAATCTAACCTTTTTCAACATACGACACCATATGAATCATTTCGAAAGTTAGCTCGCACTGACTAGATGGAGTTAAATCAGCAACAAGTCGATCGAAACTCCAATCAGACTTGCGACGTAACTGCCAAATACGAGCACGAGCCATCTCAAAATTCTCCTCACCATCGGGACCATCAAGTATCTGAATCATAGATATACAAATGGCGAACGTTACAGTAACTGGAAATGAGAATACTTCATTCGATGACATCTGAAAGTGATTGAAATTAAAATAGTACTCAGATAGCTGTTTTGATAAATAATAATTTGCTTAAGTTATATAACACAAGATTACAGGGAACGTACAGCAATACAGCTGTATATGCCATAACGAAGTAAAGGAAGCTGCAAACAATACGTATGGAAGTTTGTGTGGTAAGAAGCACCGTATTGTGACCAACGTTTGTGGCCGAATTCTAACCACCGTGAACGTTCCGATATGACTGAAGCTCGTGTAATTTACGCAAACGTACTATGTTTCAGTCAGTTAGTCACACAATGTGGAACATGGCACAAATGCACAGGTTTGAGTTGCCATACCCTACTTTCCAAGCGCGACAAGATCATCAGGGCAAATCCCAGATTAGTAGGTGTAGTAAAAGTATTCGTAAGAATAGACGTGAATTCTGACGAGCAATTACACACTTTTCAATTAGCCGACAATACAACAGAGAAAAGCGAGGGCTTCGCTGAAAGCCTGGTCTTATGACGATAACTACTCGAAGCAACGTTGGTGTAAGAAAAACAATCCCAAGAATCCAGACATAACACAGAACAAGTCATACATTTGATTACGATTGCTCATCCTTTTGTACTCCTGGTTTGACCATTCACTGTCAGTTTTCAGTAGCCATTGTTTATTGATGATCATAAATGAATATTGGTATTAGCAGACACAACCCACTGAACAAATCGCATGTAACAATGAGTAAGATCGACAGTCCGTTTGTTACAACTGAAAAACAATAATGATGAACCCGACAAACCGTAGTGATGAAATAAATCGAAATGTACATTAACTAGTGACATAAATACCAAACTAACCTCGAGCCTTTGACACTTTACGATTAGTTTGGAGGTATAATATATGTTGGCAGAGTATGGACAGCACTGCATAAGAATATGAAGTAGAAAAGATGGAAAAAGTGTGAATCGACGGGTCGATTAGAATACAAGATGCATTTAATTTACAGCAACCAGAGATAAACATACCGCTCCACTCAATACCTTTTAAACGATAGTCACTTAAACAACTCACGCTAGTGACAGCAGATTGAGTTGAATACACATGACAAGCTAAATCTCACTTCTATAGAAAGTGTTGATGTTCCTCAGAGCAAAAATACGAAATCGAATAAGTCATACATAAAATTATACAATTCGGTACTTGTAGCGGTAAACAAATCAATAGCTCTGTAAGTCATCCAAATTTGATGCTGACCGCATAAGTCTTGTAGGGCCAGTGAAATGTCAGTGAGCCCTAGCCGAACCATCCGACAGTTGGGTCACTGAATATAGAACAAATCATCCATCCCTGTCATGGTCAAGGGCAACCAACGCGCATCAGTTAATCATACGCCATGGACTGGCCCATCTGATGGTAGTCACACTTTTGCTTCTACCCACTTAAACTAAAATATTCCTGTACTAACGACCTTTCTGTTGAACGGTCTGCAAAGCATCCATAGTACCTTGATACGATGAAGGGTTAATTCACGTTAGGTGCTTACCACGATGTGTGACTTCGACGTTAGCTGTTGGTCACAACACTCCCGTCTAATTTGAGTAGGCCCCCAGTCACTCGTCAGATATCATGGACGTTGATGATCTACAATTTTAATGGACTCCAACCTTTCAGCTCATGACATTCTGGACCGACAATATAAAATCCTGGTTCTGTTACCCGGAAACTGTCTTCCTCGAGCACGGCGTAAAGACTCACATACACAATCCCTCACAGTGATAGAGGCACTGCTGTGCAATTTCAGCAGGAACGTCACATCTAGTATGTTTGCTAGCCATGTGTTCTGAACCTTGAGACACTATTAAGAATGGAGATGTAATCGATCGAAAAAAGTTACACATTTGTTTCCACAACACTGCGCTGCAGATGTAAGCATTCTTTCGGCGAATACTAATGACCGACTGCGCGAAGAAGTATACGACATAAAAGCGACTTGTCCGAATATTCGTCACATCTTTGCATTTCAAGCGGCAACTAAATAATTTGCAAGTTCTGTATTTATGAGACATGTTATCGATAACGGTATTTCTAGTGAATGTTAAAGATTATTAGGATGGCCATTCCTAACTAAGCAGAAGGAAATGATCTTCAGCCAGGGAAAAATATGGTTTCAGGAAAGACCTTAATGCTTGATGGGGTTATCTAATACTGGCTTAACGTATACTGCATGATGATCATGCCATCACCATGCCTTATCTGTACCTTGCATCTTAGAATGTCCATCTAAAAAGATATTCCAAGAAAGATCTAAAACTGAGATCAAATAGTTTACGTCCGCAGTTCCGTTCCTCATACGGAATAGTGCAATACTGAGATTATCTGCCCGAACACGTAATGTCAGAGCCTTTTGTCGATACATTCAGAGCCAGATTGGATCTTCACTGTGCAACAAATTGGAAGAACTAATATAGGTCGATTAACCTTCTATCTTTACTGCCAAAGACTACTTCTAAATGGGATATTACCGTTACGTTCACCACTCATTTGATAAGATGGTTTAACAATATCATACATTGCAGAGATCTTTGCTTGGCCTATGCTAACTATGACTGTACTTATTTACTTACTCCTGTAACTCCCAAAGAGGCATAGGCAGCCAACCAGCACTCTCCAGAACATTCTGTCCTGGTCCTTTCTTTCTAGTTATATCCAACTTTTGTTCATTCTTCTCATGTCTGGCTTCATTTCTCGGCGTGATGTGTTCTTCGGTCTTCCTCTCCTCCTTTGGCCTTCAGGATCCCATGTGAGGGCTTGTCTTGTGACACAGTTGGGTGTTTTCCTCAGTTTTGTCCGATCCACTTCCAGCGCTTCTTCCTGATTTCTTCCTCCACTGGATGGAATCTGGTTTGTTGTCTCCCACAGTAGGTTGTTGCTGATAGTGTCTGCCCAACAGACTCGAAGTATTTTGCGTAGACAACTGTTAATAAACACTTGTATCTTCTGGATGATGGCTTCCATTGTTCTCCAGGTTTCCGCCTCATTCAGTAGCACTGTCTTGACATTTGCATTGAAAATTGTGATCTTTGTGTTGGTTGACAACTGTTTTGAGTTCCAGATGTTCTTCAGTTGTAAATATGCTGTTCTTGCTTTGCCGATCTTCGTCTTCACATCCTCCTCAGATTCACCGTGCTCATCCATAATGCTGGTCAGATATGTAAAGGTTTTTACATCCTCAAAAGCTTCTCCGTCAACTGTGATCCGATTGGTGCATGCTGCGTTGTGTTGGAGAATCTTGCTTTTCCCTTTTTGTATATTGCGAGTAACTTCTGCTGAGGCTACTTCTACACTAATCGTCTTCTCCTGAATTTTCTTTTGCGACAGAAGAACCAGATCATCCGTGAAGTCTAAACCGATGGTGGTGATCCCATATCGTAAACAAGTTTAAGAAAAGATCATAAGGATCCTAGTTCTTCAAAATATAAGAGTATTCTTTCGAACAAACCATACTCTAATATCAAAACTGGTAAGAATGAAAAATTCAATACATGAGGGGGAACAAAAGAATTATGTACTTGAGATAAAATTTGATGATTGCAGTGTTATATATGTAAATGAGACATCACCACAACTTAATGTGAGCATGAAGGAACACAAACTTTGCTTGAAGCACATTACTAAATCCTCAGATTATATGAAAAACTTTAAAAAACAAGTCAGAAATAGCATTGCACTCAATAGAGTTGGGTCCATACAATCAATTTCACTGGTATAAGAATCCTACGTAGTGGTTTTAGCTCATACTGGAAGAAAGACTAACACCCGAAGCCCTACATATATTGGAAAACTCCAAACAGTATTAATAGTAGAAATGGTATACAATTAGCTATCCCATGGCAACTAATAATTAATAAGTAAACCTGAACTTTTCATTTTATTTAATCGATCACTTAATATCTGAACAACAACAATTACTTTCAACTATTCGAATCATTTGGTTTATCTTAATAAGGGATGAACAGTTAACTTGAACAGTACGATAACATAAACATCCATTCATTAACTTAATTTTGTTTATTTATCTTTACTTTATGCATGTTTTGACATTTTGGCTCATATCATCTACAAAAAATTGTCTGTTTTCTTCAAAAATTTGTAGATGGCGTCGAGTCTCGACTGACTATGATCACCACTACAATAAGATTATGCGCCAGAAAACGACTTGGTTCTTTCGCTAGTTCGTAAACCAGAAGGCTGTAGCTGGTCCAGATAAAGTATATTTATTGGCGATCTCATGGTATTCAATGAATACCTAGACGTGCTAAAGAGTACAAGCAAAAAAAACAGAGTGTAAGAAAGTTCGAACGGACAAGATGGACAACAGAACGAAAAGTGATCTTCATACAGTTAAACAAAACGAGTACAGTAAAACAATCACCGGTACAATTGATTATAAAAATAAATGTTTCCATTATGCCAATCGCGTTCTCGTCGAGAAAAGCAGGTCACTACAAATTCAGTGGTCAAAAGTGATAAATGGTCAATGAAATCCCTTCTCATACCCTAGATCCACTTACAAATAGACAGTCTGTTATCTTAATACACTTTTTATTACACACTGGATGTCTCATATGCACTACATCAAATAATTACTTTCAACATTTTTAACATGACTGGATAACTTGTATAGTACACAGTTAACCGAAGAACCTAGTACCTACTTATATTCGATAATATTGATATCTGGTTATATTTCCTCGAAAAAGCTTAGATCAAATTACCGAGAGAAACTTTGGATTTATTTGAAATTTAATCACTGAGATTTTACAAATATATTTTCCCTCCTAAATATCTGACATTAACTCGGGGCCCAAATACTGTGAAACTATTCGTTCAAACTTAGACGAAAGTTTTTAAAAATAGTGATAATTACTTATAATTATTGTGACAATGTATCCTATTAATCGAGATTAGTAGAGCAATAAAAACAATTATGAGCAATTTTCAAATTTCTAAAATAGATAGATATTTGTGTTACGGAGTGAAAATTCTAGAAAAATTTTAAAATATACGAAAACACGTTTCCAGAGAATGAAAATTAATATTACCGTTACATACTAACGGTCATAACACTGAACAGATTAATAGAGTAAATCAAATAAAGCTCAAAAAGACCCAGGAATGAAAGAAAGGAATTTGTTGTTAAGAGTATGAAATAAGATATTACCTAACTGTACAACAAAAATAGAAGTTACAAGGGTGTCGAGAAACTTACCACTGTATGCTTTATAATGCATATATTTGGTTTCGACTTGTTAAAAGCTGTGGCTACAAGTGCAACGTAGTAAATTCGAAGTTGTTTGGGCACTGATTATTGAGAACAGTTTTAAGTTATCAACTATGTATCGATTATCAAGCAGAAGACTAGTAGTATTACTGCTGAAAATGGGTTGACCTTTTCGGTTGCACTATATGATACAAATAAGAAGTCTCCTTTCTGTTTTTTCATTGCAAGTGATTTGGGACGAAAATATAAACTGATTAATACAACTAAAAGTAACATGAGGTGGAAATTTGTCAACTTTTGTTCGACATACCCACTTCAGTGCAGCACTTGGTCTACAATTAATCACGTTAGCTGCTTCATCATCTTAGAATCCAAGTTCTGAAATGGTTGGCTTTTCCTTGACCATAGAAAATTCCGTTCCATCCCATACTTATCGTTAAACGTTTTTGGTCACTGTCACCTCGCAAACTCTTCTCAATTATGTTTAATTCCTCTCCAGTCTTTTCTTTTGAACATAGTCTCAGTACACGACTGAATAGTGTTCTAAACAAAGTTCTTTTGCACCTTATCGAATAGAAACTAGTGAAATTCCAATATGGCTCACCCCAAGTGTCTCTTCAGCGGTTAGATCTTTTTATACAATGGTTTGAATTACGCTGATTACCAGCATCAAGAAAATTCATGATCCTTTGTAAACCAGATATTAAAGTTATGTTTATAGAAAAGATTTTACAGCGTTTTCCTTTATGAACCAAAATTTATCATCTGCCTGACATCACTGTCGACATTCTAAATATGAGGACGAAATATAGGGATTTTAGTCATTCAACTCAACACTTATTGATCTAAACTTAGTCTGGATAGGAATACGTCCTCTAAAATAATCAGATAACCTCATGCTTAGTTGGCTAGCTTTAGGATTTATTAAATGGAATCATCACAGTAGATGTTAATGTTATGGTTAATCTAATTTATAAACATTACCCATGACTATGATTGGATTTGAACTTTTTGTATTATTAAGTACAACATATCCTATTACACCACTTTATTTTATATGCATAGATTATAGTTAGTGTTTATTTGAAAATTAATCTCCACCTATATATATTGACAAGTCTT